CACATACACAACAGGAGAATCCTCAAATGTTCACCACCCTTCAGAGGGAGCCGGAATACCCGGGCTCAAATCACAGAAGCCACAAACAGAAATTAACACTACCGCTCTGGTCTTCAAAGCAGGAGAGGGGAAATAAAGCGACCTTTCCCAGGGCCTCAGTGCACCCTAAGGGTCTGATGATCCAGTTTAAGGCTCTGTGTACCACTGTGTACAATGCTTATAAGGGTTACATTTATTGACTGCTAGGTGCCGGCTACTGTACATGCACTGACTCATTTAATTACCATACCAACCAAGGTAGAGGGAAACTGAAGCCCCTGAGGTGTGCAGTCACTTGCTGAAAGGACAGTGAGAGGGGCACCAGGGTGGCTCAGTCGTTTAAGCGTCTGCCTTGGGCTCAGGTCACGATCCCAGTGTCTTGGGATCCAGCCCCGCAGCGGGCTCCCTGCTCAGCCAGGAGCCTGTTTCTCCCTCTCCCTTTGCCCCTCCCCCTGCTTGGGCATGTGCGCTTTGTCAAATGAATAAAATCTTTAAAAAAAGATACACAGTAAGAAAGCAGGAGAGCAAGGACACAAACCCAAGTGGGTGGCTCTAGAGGTTACACTAATTAACCACTTCCCAAAATTGCCACTACAGATTTCTGATAGGACTTTCCTCAGACTGTATCCTAAGAAAGTTCACAGGCATCTGACCAGCTCCGAGGAGATAAGTAAGGTCTCAGGGCCTTTACCTTGCCCCTGACAGTTCACTTCTGGGACTCTCACTGGCAGAAGCAACATTCCCCCGTAGCTTTTACTCAAGGAAAACTTAGGCAGAGGCTCTCTAAAGCACAAAGCCGGCACTTCCCCATATCCTTTTATAGGGGACGTGTAAAATCTATAGTCCAGGTGCTTTAATTGGAAGAGGTAGATTTTTCTCTATTAATCTCTCTTCTGGTCAGACAAAAAATGTATGAGCTCAAAGTCCAGGAAAAGACAAGTGATGGCTAGCAAGGAGAAAAGGAGCAAAATGAAAAGCGGAAAAAAAGAAAATCAAGAGTATGTTAAAAACTACTAGTCCCCAGGGAAATGCAGCTTAAAACCACAATGAAGATACCACTCTTAAACAGTTTGGCCAAAGTAAAAAATATAAGTGTTAATGAGGATATAGAGAAAATGGAACCCCCATATAGTGCTGGTGGGAGTGTGAAATGATGCAGTTGCTTTGGAAAACAATCAGGCAGTTCCTCAAAAGGTTGTGAAAGGACCCAGACATTCCACTTCTATGTATATAACCAAGAGACATGTCCACACACAAACTTGGACACAAACGTTCGTAGCAGTATTATTCATAAAAAGCGGAAGTTACCTAGATGCCTATTAATTGATGAATAAATGAAATGTGGTATAACCATACAAAATATTTGCAACAAAAAGGAATGCGGTACGGATACATGCTATAGCACTGATAGTGAAAGAAGCAAGGTCACATAAAACCGCATATTACATGGTTCCATTTATAGATCTTCCTCAGCTTACAATGGCGTTACATCCCTATAAACCCATTATAAGTTGAAAATGCACTTAGTACACCTAACCTATGATCATAGCTCAGACTAGCCTCCCTTAAACACGTTCAGAACAATTGGTCCACAGTTGGGCAAAATCATCTAACACAAAGCCTATTTTATAATAACGTATTGAAGATCTCATTTTTTTTTAAAGATTTTTATTTATTTGACAGAGACACAGCAAGAGAGGGAACACAAGCAGGGGGAGTGGAAGACGGAGAAGCAGGCTTCCCGTCAAACAGGGAGCCCGATGCGGGGGTCGATCCCAGGACCCTGGGATTATGACCTGAGCCCAAGGAAGACGCTTAAGGACTGAGCCACCCAGGCGCCCCGAAGATCTTATGTAATTTACTGAATGCTGCACTGAACGTAAAACAGAATGGCTATGTGGGTAAAGAATGGTTGTTAAGTGTATCAGTTGTTTATCCTCCTGAGTGGCTGAGAGCTTCAGGGGGCTGCGGCTGCCGGGCATTACAGAGGATCAAGCTGCATATTGCTAGTCCAGGAAAAGATAAAAAATCAAAATCCCAAGTACCGTTTCTACTTTATATGTATCACTTTTCCACCATCATAAAGTCAAACCATCATAACTCTATAACTCAGGAAACCATCTGTAAATGAAGTATCCAGAATAGGCAAATACGCAGAAAGTAGATTAGTCATTGCCTAGGGCTAGGGGGTTGGGGAGGAATGAGGAGTAACCGCTAAGGCACAGAGGGTTTCTTTTTGGAATTAGTGGTGAGGGTTGTACAATTCTCAGTATAGTAAGAGCCGTTAATTTGCATACTTAAGTGTGTGACTTGTGAATTCTCTCTCCATAAAGCAGTCATTTTTTTAAAAGATTTTTAAAAACTGGTTACCAAGTAAAACTACTAGTGTACTCCAGGAGAATCCGTGTCTTTGTGAATGAGAGACTGTAATTGCAGAAGTGGTAGAAACCCAAAATCATTTCAGCAAGAAAAAAAAAAAATCAGAAAGTCTATAGGGAAAGTGGAAGGGGAACCGATTTGTTTAACTGAATTTCAAGGTGGTGGGTGTGTTGGGGTCATATCACCCCAAATGCATAGATATTATACCATGGGTTACATAACTAAATTCTGACGTACTCACCTGAAAGCTCTCAGTTCCAAAAATAAAGGATTTAGAGAGGTGAGATTTAAAAACAAGAAAAACAGGCAAAGGCTGATATTAGCTTTTTGGAGACTCTAAAAGTTTACAAATGTAAGGATCCTCTGGCATGTTGCACCGCATGTTCACAAAATAAGAATATGGATTTGAGCCCAAAATATACACCATTTCCTAAGATGAATTTAGAAATCGGACTTAACTAGAAAAAGTAGAGCCTTTAAATTCTGGAGCTGAGGGTAAGACATGAACAGTGAGATCTCAGTGTTTGAAATTTGGAAGAAATATTTAGAAGTGAAGGGTCTGCCAAGGTACCCAGTCATGTATCTCCTTAATAATGAGCCTGTAGCAGAAATCAATGCAAACTCTAAAGTGAATACAGAGTCCTAAGGGGGCAATATGTCAAATGATAATATGGAAGTTTCCTGGCCATTAGCTGACACCACGTTAACACATTTTCGGAAACAGAATAGAGAATTTCATTTAAATTTTTTAGCTTTTAACTTTCAAACTATTACCAAACTGTTTACTCCCACTCTGTCTTAAGCATCATTTGTATGGAAAATCAGCCTACTGCTTTTTTTAAGAACAGGCAAGTCATTAATTGATCCAATGTGTTGGCAGTTCTGGAGAACCTTTTTAGACAGGAACAAGTGATGCCTCTTTCTGTTCAAAGAAGCCAAGTTTAACATTTCACGCATATGCACAGAGAAACATTTAAGGAATCCTGCAAATTAGCCAACAATCCTCTTGGAATTTAGAGAACCAAAAAAACCCTTCACAACCCCTCAGGTCAGAGTTTAGATATTAAATGTTTAAAGATACTTTACATGACCTAAAGTCCTCCTCCATAGTCCTCCAAATCCTTGAATATCAAAGTTTAAGTAGTGCTCCTAGGACTCAATGTTGGGGTACAATCTTTTCCCCTACAAAACTGCTGAGCTCCAAGAAAATATATCAAGTGCTCCTAAATGCTGTATCATAGCTTTTCTAAGTGAACTGCCTCTCTTAATTAAGGGACAGCATTTTTCTGGCCTATGTGTTAAAAGCACTGAACTTTCCCCATTTCACCTGTTTGTGTTAAGCTTGACAGGTTCCTTGTTGAAGGCAGCTGGTGTTGATTACCAGAGGCAGACCAATGCTATACCTCATTAACAGGTGATAACAGCTCTCAGAAGGAAAACTTGTCCCGAAGAATGCACCCCCCAACAATACAGCCAAAGCTTGGTGTTTCATTTCAGTAGCATCACTGTTTATTAAAACCTAGCTTTTAAAGAAAATGACATTTTTGATCAGGCAACTCCGGTAAAAAAATGCATCTGTCATTTCTCTCCCCCCCCCCCCGCCCCCTTATGGATGCCACAGTCTCAACCCAGGAACCCCTCTGGGGAAGGAGGGCCCAACTCAAGGAGGCCAGTCTGCTGAAAGTAGCTGGTTATGCTGAGAAGCCTGGATAGGTTTTTTTGTTTGTTTTATTTCTACCGCGAAAGCAGTGGTATGTCAGGCCTACGGATAATATGAGTTTCAGGGCAGTAATGTATTTCTAGCCCTGGCACCCCTCAACCATTAAGAAAAGCTTATTCTTTCTACGCTGAAGTCGCCTCATTCTCGCCAAAAAGAAAGCCTTCAGCATAATCTCCCAATTAGGCAAAGGATAACGCAATACTGGAAAAGTAGGCATAACTTTATGGCCACCATGCTCTTTTTGGCTGGTGGAGGATTATTTACCATCGTGCCTGCATGTCAGCTTCTCCGAATGACAGAGCACAGGACTTTATTATTTACGACGTGCGTCAACCCAGCGGGGGCGGGGAGGGCTTTTAATCTCCCACGAAGGGCTGAAACCTGACTTGAAGGAGCAAGTTAGCGGTGGTGAGCCGCCAGCACCAGTAACCCTACCCGCCTCCTGACACACAAACGCCTGCATCAGGAGTGTACCTGATGCACACACTAGTGCTGAGCTATCAGATGTACCGGTTCCAAACAGGTGCGGAGCCGGTCAATAAATACGCAATATACGAGCCCTGCTCCCAAACTTCACCTTCCAGATCCTCATCGGAAAAGTTGGCCCACCTCGGCAAACCCACGTCGCAGGGGCGCTACGCTAATCGGAACACACACTCTGGTGCCCCCCTTTCCCCTGCTTTGTAAACCCCCCGAAGTAACGCGAAGCAAAACTTAATAGGTCCAGAGAACAGAGACGCGTCTTCCGCGCAGACTTCCCAGAAAGGAGCTAGGAGGCAGGCGCTGGATCCTTCTCTGGCGCCTACATCCCTTGAGGCTCCCCCTCTCCCACGCCCGCCGCGCACCCGCCCGGGGCGCTTACCTGCATGGGACATGGTGATAGTCTCGTTGGTGTTGGAGCCCACGTTGAAGATGACCACCGCAGAGGCGTTCTGGAGGAACGCGTTCCGGATCTTATCCCTGTACGTGCAGTTGCCCTTGGGGATGAGGGCTATCCAGTTCTTGCCGTGGGCCGGGGCGGCGAACTTGGTGTTGGGGTCGCAGGCTAGGCGGTCGTGGGCCGGGCTGGCCATGACCACCTCCCCGCGGGCGTCCTGCTTGGGCGAGTGCTCCCCGTAGCGCCCGCACTCAGTCTTCTCGGTGTGCATATCGGTGCCGCCGCCGCCCGCCACTCCGGGCCCGGGGTCCGGCGCGGGCTCCGCGTAGGTGATGTTCACGAAGGCGGTGTACCATTCCTCCTTCTCAGCCACGGTGAAGTCCAGGCAGAGCAGATGCACGAAACAAAAGGAAAGCAGCCATGTTGAGAGAGCCAGACTGCGGCACGCTTGGATGAGAGACCTTGCCATCTTTATCCGCCGGGGCCCCCTTCCCGCCCCCCGCGCCCTCCCCCCACCCCGTCCCTCCTCCCCAGCCCCGGCCAACCCCGGGCCGGCGGCTTCTCCTCCTCCTCCCGTTCACTCCGGGGACCCGCGGGCCCGCGGCCGGGACGCACAGTCGCCGCGGGGGCCGGATTCCGAGCGAGGGGATGGCGCCGGCCCCTTCCCCTTTCAGCTGGAGCGTGGCGGTTGCATTTCGCTTCAGCGGCCCTGGAGGGGCGCGGGCGGAGGAGGCGCTTGGGCTTGCGGAGGAGTCCAGCGGCCGAGTGTCCGGCTCCTTGGCGCGGCTTCTGCTTCTCTCATAGGGGTGGCAGGGGCCCCAGGAGCGTGCGGGGTGGCGGCTCCGCGCGCTCTGGCCCCGGCGGGGGCGGGCGCGGCTGCTCAAAGCCCGGGGTGCCGCCGAGGGTGTCCCGGCCGCCGCCGCCGCCGCCGGGCGCTTCGGCGAGCGGATCCGGCTGCTGGCGAGGCGGCAGCTTCTGCGGCGCGCGGGCTCCCTCGCGCTGGGACGCTGCGCTCCTCTCTTCGCCGGATGGCCGCACCAGGGACACACTTGCCGGAGGAGGGGACGGCTCGGGGCCCGAGGGAGAGAGCGGCCAGAGGGGAGTACGAAGTCTGTGTATGTCCGTATATGTTTGTGTGTGTGTATAATGTGTGCGTGCAAGGAGGAGCTTAGTGTGATGTCAAAGATTCTGGGCTCCGCTTGCCACTCTCTCTCGGCCTTTCTTGATGGGCGACAGCGACACCTGGCGGGTCTCAAATTCAACCCCGTCTCGGACTTGGTCCAGGTCGGGGGGGGGGGGCGGCAAAAGGGGAAGCGACCCCTAGACCTATGCGTGCAGGAACAACTTCCTTCGCCTTAAATATAGCGAAACGAGCGTGCCTCTCGTAAACAACCTTATCCTGTGCAGGAGAACTGCAGTGAGCTCCCTAATTACCCACCCTAGGGCCAAAGGCTGTGGCAAATTGGTAGCGAGGGCCTTCCAACACCACACCTGGAGTGTCTAGGGCAGTGACGATCAAATTTAAGTGTGTATAAGCATCACGTGGAGCGGGGGATGTTAAAGCTCAGACTGATGGGCCCTGCCACAGAATTTCTGCTACATCTGGGTTAGGGCTCCAGAACATACCTAACAAGGTCCCAGATGATGCCCATGCTACTGGCCTAGGGACCACTCTGTTTGAGGGAGTATAGGTATGGGTTTCTTTCCTCCCATCTGGAAGCAAACGTGTGACATTTGTTTTCTTACAAAATGGGTGTTTCCATATAAGAAAAGAAACCGAGGGAGCTATTTCTCCACTGTGTTTATTCCGGTTGTCATGACTGGTAGTGTCAACAGGCAAGGGAGGTTTCTTTGTATTATGGTTTATAGTGTGTTCTCCGGGTAGATAGAGATCAAACTAGTCAGAGTACAGCCCCTTCAAGTAGTGTTCTTCAAACTGACAGCACAGTCCCTTACCATTTAAAGGTTTGAATGCTTGTTATACTTTACATGCACTGTTCCCTTGGCTTGAGATACCTGCCCTATAAAATCTCTTAAGATAATTCGAGTGATGGTTCTCAATCACTCACGTTGAACTTCCCACCTGTCAGTCTTTCAGAGAACCCAGGACTCAATGATGAACAAAAGTCCACCTTTTCCCTAAGACCTTAATATGTTTGCAGCTTTCTGTTAATGACAGCACCCCAGCACAACCTCTCTTTTTCCAGCAGCAGTGCAAGCAGCTGGTGGCTGTTTGGGGGAGAGCGAGGAGCCCCAGCTATACCCAGATTAGAAGCAGGCACAGGAAGAACTGCTTAGAAGAATTCGTCTCTATGGTATTTGATGTGCTGGTTTTGTGTGTTTTCCTAACTTACTCATTTTAGAAAATAGGCTTCTAGGCAATTGGGACAGTGCTTTTTATAGTACCTCATGCCAAAGAGGCAGACATGGAGACTGCCTGGCTGTTGGTCCCTGAATCACCAGAGATCTGAGGGAAGAGTCCATTGGCTGAAAACTCCTAGCTAGGTTCTGTACAGATGCCTTAGCAAATGAAGGTGGTTCCCCAAACCTCTCTATCTCTTAGCAATTTTTCTCCAGCCACAACACTTGGGGAATCTGTGTCATTAAGAATGTATGATTACCCGGGTGCCTGGGTGGTTCAGTTGGTTAAGCATCTGCCTTCAGCTCAGGTCATGATCCTGGGGTCGAGCCCCATGTCGGCGGCGCCGGGGGGGGGGGGGTCCCTGCTCAGCAGGGAGTCTGCTTGTCCCTCTCCCTGTTCCCCTACCCCCGCTTGTGCTCTCTATCTCTTTCAAATAAGTAAATAAAATCTTTTTTAAAAATAAAAGAATGCATGACTACCGCTTATCCTTTCTTTCTCTTAGAAAAGTTAGAGGTTAAAGAAATGACAGGGTCGAGGAGGCAGCATCCTGGCTGGGAATTGATTAATTACAGGGACATTGGGCAAATAAGTAAAATATTGAATATAATGGGAGCTAGGTTTCTTAGTGTTGGAAAAAATTTACAAATATGGAAAGAAAGAAAGCTCTGAAGAACTCCAGAGGTGTTGGATTAGTTTAAAGATGGGTGTGAAATCACACACACATATATACCATACTCTTTTTATTCAGAGGCTGGAAACAATGGACACATCAAGTGGCAAAAAGTTCTTGGTTTCTAAGTCCCATCCTCCAGTAAAAGAAACCAGGGAAAATCCACAGTAAGCTTGGAATCTCTTATAGCACGGTACTCAAAGCATTATGGCCAACATGCCAAAAGGACACATGAGCCAGCTGGATGGAGCTCCCACTGACCAAACTGGAACAATTCGAGTGTAAAAATAAATAATGATAGTAACTGATTACAACCTGTTGGCTAAAACAGGAATCCATGACTCTGAGCTAATATAAATGAATAAATAAATAGTGATAGAATAAATAAATGGAGAAGGGACAGCTCTTCCTGATGGCAGAATTTGAACTAATGAGATCGATGAAAATAGAAAGTCACTATTCGGCAGTGTTGATTAATTCAGTCAGGAGTCAGTGGATGCTAAGGCTGGTGGGTGGATGTTTGATGTACAGCAGGATGTACAGTTGGCCTGGTCTTGAAGTACCTCCTGAAAATGCTTATTGATTACAAGGGGGGAAATAGTGGATGTATTGAAGAGAACCCTGGAAGACACCCAATTGACCAGGGGAACAAGATGAGTATCACCGGTAGTGGAGTGAGTCACATCACATGCCTCATGTGATGTGCTGACAAGAACACGGCATCATCTCTGTGACATTTCTTGCCAAGAATGCCTGGCCCAAATCTGGACATGGGGAAACACTGGGTAGACCCAAGGTGAGAGGCAGCCTATAAAATGAAAGGTTTGTATTCTTTAAAACTCTTAAGCTCGTGAGAGACAGAAAGACAGAAGAACTAATCAATCCAAATCGAAGGAGACTCAAGAGCCATGACAACTCAATGCAACAAATGATCCTAGTTTGGCTCCTGGACCAGAACGGAAAAATATAACAGTTGGCCAAAATTGAATGGATTGGATGGTAATGTCTTCCCAGTGCTGGTTACCTGGTTTGGATGTGTATATTGTAGCTATGAGAATAAGGTTCTTTTTTTTTTTTTTTGCGCTTAAATGCACATTCTTTATTTTTTCTCTTTAAATTTTTTATTGTTATGTTAATCACCATACATTACACATCATTAGTTTTTGATGTAGTGTTCCATGATTCATGGTTTGCATATAACACCCAGTGCTCCATGCAGAACGTGCCCTCTTTAATACCCATCACCAGGCTAACCCATCCCCCCACCCCCCTCCCCTCTAGAACCCTCAGTTTGTTTCTCAGAGTCCATAGTCTCTCATGGTTCGTCTCTCCCTCCGATTTGAGAAGAAGGTTCTTGTGGGAGGATATGCTCTGAAGTATCAAGAAGTGATGAGGCATTCTGTCTGCAACTTGCTCTTACATGGTTCAAAAAAAAAGTGATGATGATCTGTCTATAAGATCTTGGTTTCCACTATTGCAGAGAAGCTGGAACCCAATTCATGATAAAATAAAAAGTCAGAAGTCGACTTTGGAGGGGGGAGTGGTTAATAAATCTGTTTCCAGTTCTGTGCTAATGGTTCTCTTCCTTTCCAGGAGCAGGACTTGACCCACTGAGCTGGATGTCCGCTAGGGAATAGGGCAGGTAAGGATTTTGCTCTTGTGGAGTTTACATTCTGGGCTGGAAGAAACACATTCTTTTATGTTTTAGATCACATCAAGTAATAACAAGTGCTAGTGAAGAAAATGGCAGAGTGAGAAAGCGTTCCCTATTTCATCTAAGGTGCTATTTTACATCAAGGTCAGTGGCTCTGATTCCATGGCCTTTGTACAGAATCCTCCCAGTATGGGATCTGTGTGTATATTTGGGGGACTGGTTGTACCTGGAAGAGGGAAGCATGAATACAACGGCCCTGAGGTGAGACTGTATTTGCTCTGCTCGAAGAAGAGCAAGGAGACCACTAAGGTTGGAGAGGAGCGAGAGAAAGAGAAAAAAGCCCAGAGAGCCAGGTGGCCCATCATACTGTCTTGGAGTCCAAGGTAAGAACACCTTGGATTTTATTCTGAGTGGGAGGAAAAGCCTTTGGAGAGTTTTGAGCAGGGAAATGACATAGTCTGACATATTTTAAGAGGTTTATTCTGGCTGTATTGGCGCAAGAATGAGAGCAAAGAGAACAAGCAGGCGTTAATAATAATAATTCAGGACGCAGCGGATTGTGACCTGTGCTAGAAAGGTGGCAGTCAACAAGGGGAAAAGTGATTAGATCCTTAATATATTTTGAAGATGGAATAAACAGTATTCTCTAGTGCATTTAAAATGTAGGATGATAGGGCGTCTAGGTGGCTGAGTCGGTTAAGTGTCTGATTCTTGATTTCTGCTCAGGTCATGATCTTGGGGTCATGGGATGGAGCCCTGCATTGGGCTCCACGTTCAGTGGGG